GCATGACAGTGGAGACGTGTGCAGGGCAGCAGTGATAAACTGGTTCATGGACAGGTAATGGCTTTCTTTCTAAATGAATGTTAAACAGCTTCTGTTATGACTGCATGACAGCATCCTCTGTCCAGTGTGTCCATCATCCTCTGCTGCACATGTCCAAGCCTTGCTTCTCCAGTGTTGAAACGGTCTATTTAAACCTAAACCAGGATCTTTTTGTAAACGCCACAAAATAGTTTTATGCCAAATACTTTGGGCGCATAATCCAAACCAACTCATGCATGAAAACACCGAATAACTCAGAAGATTTCTGGCAGAAAGCCAAAATGGAAACTGCGCCGACTAGTGGCAGCTGCGAGACGAACACTTCCTGTCACAGGCGCGCTTAGATCCATTGCGAACGCCAAGTTGTTTTTTGTTATTGTTCGCAATAGTACCAGGAAGTACACTGTCAGAACCTACAAAATAAAAGCACCACATCTCAATTGGCAAATCCAGCTGTTGACACCCCATGACATATATAAATACACCTCTCAAGACCGTACCAATCATTTTAGGCCAAGCAACAAGATGAACCCTGTGCATTTGTAAAAATTAAAAATATAATGTCAATGTGTAGTTTAAGCAACATTTTGGAGTTGCAAAATTAAAATAGTACTACCACTACTACTATACCTACTACACTACTATTACCCTTACTATTATTATTCTTTTTTAAAAGTATTATTATTAGTGGTATTTGTAGAATTTCGCACTTTTGCTGCAAAAAAAGGTTTTTGTCTTTAAAGGGCCCCACTAGAATGGACCTATACAGTCCTGTATGTAGTAAAATGTGTGAATAAAATTATAATAATTAACAATACAACAACTTTTGTATCTTTATCATCTTCATTATAATATCATTTTTGAAAAGGTCATATAAGATATTATACTTTTAAGGATAAATATGTACTATCTTGTTCTTGTGCTGAAGCCTTTTCGTGTGTTTTCTACAGTCATTGTGTGTGACCAAATATTTCCATGAGTTTAATGTGCTTTTATTTTGTAGACGTCGGCCGGAAGTTTCCGTTTCCGTACTGTAGCGCGTGAACCTGACGGCGGCGAGTGAAGTCAGGCGGCGGAGGGACACGCGCGTAGGCTTTGCACACACACACAAAGAAAGGTATCTAACAGGAGATATTTGTGTAACGGCTCGTAATATTGTAACGCTGTGTGTCGCGTGTATGTCGCGGGGGGCGTTAGTTTGACAAAGGCGCGCTTTAATCGTCAGAGGAGAGTTTAGGACTGTGCGCATCCTGTGGCTGGGTCAGTGTCGACGGATGTAGCTTTAAAACGCGAGGA